TATCCCTCTATTTCTGCTGCATCCCCCATAGCTAAAGGCTCCTTGTTGTCTTTCTCTCCATCCCATGCACACTCTGAAGCCCTCTTACTCTCTTAATCCCAAAGCAGCTGTGTCATTTGCAGTTCAATAATCTCATTTGCTCACAAATGAAAAAAAAAAAAAAAGAGAAAGACAGAAAGAAAGAGAAAGAAAAAGAAATTCTCACCTACTAGGCACCAGTGATTCTGCTCCAGATCCCAAAGACATGATGCTATAGGTTTCAGAAGCAATGTCTTTCAAACTACTTTGCAGTATATTTTTAGAAAAGTACCACTCTGCTTTAAATGGCACCATGCAGCCCAAGCCAGAGAAGTATTAGCAATACCTGGGCCTTCAGACAGCTGGCCAAATGTTCCTGCTATTGAAGGCTGGAGGAACATGGGTGCCTTCACAAATGGTGCAGTCCAGCAGTTATAGACTTGCTAAATTACACAGGCTGTGTGGCTGAGCCTTTACTGCACTTCTCAAACGGCAAGCTAGCACAAAAAAGCGGTTGACAGCTACTAGGGTAACATGCTGGATTCTGGGTATGTCACCTGCCCAGCTGCTCTTTACAGAGGTTTATAAAAGAAATTCAAGCACGTATCATGCAACTCTTCAGTGCACAACATTTCTGTTCTGACACATTCCTGTGGCTGTGGGTGGAAGATCCAAACAAAATAATGGTGCTGTTTCTTAGCAGCCGTATCGTTTTAGTTGCTTTTGAACTCCTGGGTGCTTCTATTTCTCAACAGAAGATTGAGAAATAGTCTTCCATGTTTCAGTAGAAATATTTTTATTTCTCTGTTAAAAAACAATGAAAGTTTCATCTTGTGACCACAGCAAGCCAAAAAACAGCACAAGCACCACTGCATTTTAGAGGATTACCCTGATGATCCACTATTTTAAACAAAACTGCGGATGCTAATCGTCAGCTGGAAGTTTTTGCAGATAATGAGATGTGATGTACAGATAGTAAGATGTACAAAGCCAGAAATTCACTAGTAATACACTTCACTCATATTCTTTATACAAGGAAAAGCAACTCCTAACTCTTTATATTAAAAAGGTTCAGTGTTACAAAGCAACTAATCTTATACTAACAAATGCATATTCATCTCAACTTCCTATGAACTGGGCTATGTATAGGAACCTGCACAGATCAAGCGATGAAACATTTTGCGGATAATTCTATTTTTGAGACAACTAAGTAGCTATTTTTTAAATTCCTCAGCAACTCCTTCCCATCCTCCTTCCCTCTGTCTCTTTTCCTCTTTTAGAGTAACAAATTTGGCATCTCAAAGCCTGCTTCCTTCCACTGAGACTTCAGAGTCACTTTTGCAGTGTAATTGTTCATTGTCAGTAAAATTTGTCCGCCCAGTAGAACTATCCTCAGAATCAGAACGCTACTCATGTAGATACGTATAAACCACCCAGTCTAAGCTTAAAGTTATCCCTAACACAAACGTACATCCCTCTGTATTTACCTTAATGTTTTTCCAGTGCCAACAAGGTAAAAAAGAGGTTCAAAGCCATTGACTTTAATGCAGAAAAAGCATCACATTTTGGAAAGTACGAAAAGATGCTCCTGCATGAACAAGTCATTAATACTTCAGTTGGATGTTTTACATCAGCAAGGAAGAGGGAAAAGTTCCTATCCACTGTGCAAAAATTTCATTTCATTGTGTAAGTGAACTAGCTTGGATAGGAGAATGATACAGAAGAAGCAAGGAAAAATCAAATGAGAAAAATCACAGGAGAAAGACACGTGCAGAGGAAATTGAAAGCTCTAAAACACATTTCAAAAGGCTGTCTCAGTAGTGTGTAAATGTAAAAGAGAGATGATATCATGGGTTTTTGTAGGTGCAATCAGATATACTTTTAAACAAATTACTTGGTCTTATTCAAATATCTAGTATAATCCAAAAGGTTCTCTCCTCTTATTAACATAACATTCATATCAAGAAATTGTTTGTTCAACTCATTAGGATTTTTTTCCTTACAGTTATGAAACTCATTAGATTTATAATCATTCATTGAAATTATTCCATACTGTGATGAATGTTCTATTACATATACTGAATAATAATTCAATCTACTAGGTGCTTTGCTGTTTTATAGGCTTAGTCTTAGAGAATAATAAATTCTGCAGAGGCTATACACATGAAAGAAGTATTTCTGTCTTCATTTGTGTTTGCCTATTTACTTAAACAACCTCATTCAGACTCCACTGAGGCTTTCCCAGGAGTATCATCTTAGGATGAAACTTTCCCCGCAATCATACTTGTTTTTAGTCTAGATAACTTCAAAGAGATTTTTAGTGATACAGCAAAGTGATGTCTGTCTGAACTCTGGGTTCATCCCTTTTAATTCACCAAAACAGAGTTATGTAAATTCATAGCTAAAAAGATTATTCATCGAACTACTGAAGTTAGACGTAGATTACAAAATCAGGTCATGCTAGTTCCAGGCAATCACTCTTTACATTTAATTTCTTGGTGTTTTCTTCCGGTTCACCCGCAATGCACTTTATAAATTAGTAGAAGAAATTTCAACCTCAGTATCATTCTTAGGATTTTTTGGGATGGTTTTTTTTTTCTTTTTCTTTTTTTCCCCCATTTGTTTGGTTGGTTATTTTTTTCTGAAAATTATCATCTAGACCTGTGACACAATGAAGTGAGACAAGGCAGCAAACATTTCTGGGACTAAAGGAAACATATCTACAATAATTCCTAGAAATCATATATGTCCAACTGCTATTCTCTTTAATAGTGCCCACACCTTTTTCTGAACAAATTTAGGGATCCTTTACAAGAGGAAATGAACATTGTAGCATTCATGGGTTGTTCAGAGCACCTTCTAAATGTACTGAAAATACCACTGAAAAAATGCCATAAACACATTCACAATCCCTATGGTTTGTGCATTCAAAAGTTTTGCTTATCTTCTGAAGTAATATCTGAGCAAGGTGAACATGGGAGCAGACATTTCATGACAATGTTTCATTCACCTGGGTGCCATCTGTATCTATTGCAATTCTATAAATTATTCACATGGAAGTTTTAACACCGACTTTCATAGACCATTCATTTGTATTATTTTCAGCTACTAAAAATGGGTTAAAGATATAAACATTCATATGCTATGTAAATCCACAGGTCAAAGTGTAAATACATGATAAGATTTTTTTTCCTCTTTCCTCCCATCCATTTTGTTTTCTCCCTGATATTCAGAGACAAAGTGATGCATAAAAATGCAGTACCTTCGGTATTTTGAAGAGCTTTTTCTTAAATAGCTTCAAATACTTTCCCTTCTATTTCATTTATTTTCTTTCCCTGTGATTTCATTTCTTTTTGTTGGATGAGAAGTATAAAAAATGATGAAAGAGTAAGCATGAAGAAAATGCAAGGTGAAAAGAATGAAAACCTCAGTACTGCTCTGGCAACTTCTAGAGAGGTTAGCCCACAACTGAGAGACAGCTCAGGTCCTCCTTCAGGCTACACAAGCATTTTCTTCTTTAGTATGGGACAAATAATTCAACTTCTCTGATTCAACTTCCCCATCTAAAAATGGGTCAGAATTACAGCATCTAACACTTCTTAATAGTATTACACAAATAGAAGAATATTCTGTTCACAAAATATTCACAAACAGAAAAATAAAGCAAAGATTTAACCAATTAATTGCAACTGTTTAAAACAAGAATATGTAATTGCTTGAAATCTAGCTATTGTGGGTCATATATTCATTCCTTAGCAGAAGTAAGCAATGTTTCTTCCATAAGACTCTCTAAATCCAACAGATCAAGAAAGATGACACTAGTATCTCTCTATGTACACCAGACAAAATGCATCAGTCATGATGATTACATCTCTTTCAGTCATTTAGTATTATAATAGGAATAAAATCCATGTGCTGGAAGACTAATACACTCACTGTCTCCAGTATGAAAATTAAAGTCTTGATTTTTATGGAACAGGAGGCCACTATGCTAAGGTCCTGCACTTTGCCGTTTAAACTGTCCTATTATACAGATATTTACCATTCTTGGTCTCAATGGCATGCTATTGGTGACATTAAGTGCATATTTATTTTTCAATAAAGCCCTCTTTTTCACTGACAGAGAAATGCAAAGTTAATACATGTACTTATGTAAAAAAAAAAAAAAATCAAAATGATTGCGTAACACATACCATATTCCAATCTGATGGAGGATTTTAGTCAGTCATAACACAAAAATTTTTTTAAGCACCATATTTTTATTTGCTTACACATGTGAAAGGCTTGAAGTTTCATTGTGGCAAAGAAACATTTCTACAATCAAAATGTAGTTTAAGCCCTATGTGGAGAACGACTCATTATAACTGTCTATAAATATATCAAAGATATGCAGTAAGTTTTCTTCTTCTGCAGGGCAGAAGTGCCAGGAGGACCTACAATTCTTCTATTTTTGTGTTAGAATGAAAATCAGCTGTTTGAAATCCAATAAAACCAGTCACCCTACTTCAATTCCATAAACATTCTTTTACCAGAAGTTTAAATTAATCCATCCTAGATTAGGGATCACTCACACCAGTTCAGAACTGAGCTAAATATTTTTAAATAGCAAAACAGTCATGCTGAAAGATAACTCATCTACCAAGTAAAAACTCCTCAGGAATTTCTCGAAGGCAAAATTAAAAAAAGAAAATAAATAAATTTAGAAATGCTCTCTAACATTGAGGCCAGTGTTGCTTTGTAATGTATATGAAAATACTTTCTGAAAATAAATGCAAATGTGCTTGGCAGTGAGGTGAGTTAGAACAGAGTGGAAGAGAACTCCTGTCTCAGTATGGAGAAATAATTTTACTCATTTGTTTTGCATTTGTTTGGGTTTTTTAAAGACTGTAAGAGAACAGTACTAAAAGGCTCAGAGCTACTAAAACTGAATTAACTGTGCATACATAGCGAAAGAAAAGAAAGGAAAAAAGATTGGTCCCTACCATCTCCAACAAACTGAAGGAGGGCTAGATCAATTTGTCTTTTCCAAGGTGATCCTTTCTGAAGTGCTATTCCATAGCCCGTAGTGGCAAAGATGTATCCACTCCCTATTGTGACAAGTTTGCAGCCTTCATCTCTTCCAGCCTTGTAATTCAGCACCGCTGCATCATAGATGAAAGCATCCAACTTCCTGAAATAAAAGAAAACATTTTACAAACCAAATCATTAGGGTCAGCTGTTGTCAGACTTCTTTTGTCCTTGATGTTAGGACTCTGTTGAATATCATATGCATTCTTTGATATCCTTAATTACATATCCTGCTCTGCTGTATCTAAAATTAACAAAAGGCATCTATTTTAGTGAGGGGAAAGTAGGACACATAGTTTTGCATTTCTATTTTAAGGCATGCTGTTAAAAAATACTGAGCAGGAGAAACCAAGCTACAAAATGTCTTGCTCTGTTATCTTTGTATCTTTGCTCTCAAAATGGATAATAAATATCTTGAGATGCAAAATGATCTCCAAAACCAACACAAATGATAATAGAGAATTTAGAGTTGAAACAACAATAACCAATTAGCTTATTTAAAATACAGAATGAGACTGAAAATGTGACTTCACCAGTTTTCCACACATACTCTTATTTTATGTCTCTTTCCAAAAATAAAAATGAAGGTGGAGGTTAAGTCCTTGCCAAGACAGAGGAAGGTATTGCAGCATATCTGATATAGCTATTTAAATCCTGCTTAGAAATTATAGAAAATGTGTCTTTATGATTCACAGTTTCAAACATACTATTTGTGTACCTGGAGTGCAGCAGGA